AAATTAGATCACATATCCTTAAAACCACGTATAAATTCAATTGTTATCCGATTTTGGGGATAAACAAGGGGATTTGAACTTCAAATCTGCAATTAGTTTCATTTACATAATTTGAATTAGAGATAAAATTGAATCAACTATAAGAGAAAATTCAATCAAATCACAAACTTAGCACATACTCCGAAAGACTTGCATTTAGAATTTGTCAAAAACAGTAGAATCCGTGTAAACTCAACTCATGCTGCCACTTCAACTTGATTTCTTTTCCTTCTCTTTGTTAGTATTGTTAGTCTTAGTCCATCTATTTATAGCTTTCTAGAGAAGGGTAACAAAGCCCACTCATCTAAAATATGGTATGATGCGCTTAAAATTTAACTCTTCCATTCATCTATGTCGCAGAAAAAGGCTGAAAGAGTAGATTCCTGCGTGAAGGGGGATGGTCAGTGTTTCAACTTCAGGTATACTCTGAAAGACAACAACAACAAACCCAGTGTAATCCCACATGTGGGTATGGGGAGGGTAGTGTGTACGCAGAGGTAGAGAGGTTGTTTTCGATATACCCTCGGCTCAAGAAACAGTGAAAATAAAGTAACAAACAGTAGCAACAACAATATAATAAGAACAAATGGCACAACATGTAATATAAAGAACCAGGAATAAGAAAAAAATACAAATATAGTACTAGTACTACTGATAAGAGTATAAGACTAAGAAACTAATAACTACTGTCAATCTTCCACCTTAATTCTCGACAAGTATACTCTGAAATAAAGAGGTAAAATGGAGACAGCTTATTACCCAAAGCTGTCTGCAGATATTATTAGTAATTTAACGGGAACATTATAATTCATGATTCATTAACAATACAAGATATGTTACATTTGCTAATGTAAAAAGATACTACAACATAACCCCCAAAAAATAAAAAATAAAAAATAAAAGAAAAGGTATGTTCCTCTTCCTATTGCTGATCTTTGATCTATCGGTAGCCAATGAAATAGGAAAGAGCATTATGGGGATCTTACAATTCATTCATTCAGCAGAATCATGCATCCAAAGACGTAAATCTACATTCGTGCCACCAAAGGAGACCGTACAGCCAGCAGCATGGACACCAGTCTTCAGACATAGGGAACCAATCAAAATAGCACTATAGAGTCGAAGTAACACTGCCAGAAGCAACACAAATCTCACTTTGCCAGCGATTATCTCATTTTCTGTTGCTCAATCACTTCATATAAGATGTACATTGATTCTGTGCTCACAGAAAAAGCAACTATCAACATGACCTGGAGCTTCAATAAGTGGCTCGAGGAATAGAGCCTACCAGAGACTTCCACATATGATGCTGAATGAAACAAGTTACCATCATTCTAATCCCAATGAACTTTCAGCTCTCTTCGTATGAAACAATAAAGAATGATGTAGCCCAATTTATGCAACTTGCATTAAATATTTTTTTCATTTTACTTAACAGCTCGCACACCAGTAGTCTTGAAGCGGAGTCTAAATTGCGGCTGAGAATCCTCTTCATCGTCATCGTCATCGTCATGGTCATCTTCACTAGACTCATCTTCCACCCTGTCCCATCTAGAATAGTCAAGCCGTGAATGTCCCTTTGGCTGTGGAATTGCTTCCCAGCTAGTGGACTGTTGTTCAGATGATTTTTCAGCTGTCTGAGCATCACCAACTTCAGTTGTCAGTTCGACAGTTCCAGACTCAGCTTCTCCTGCGCTTGCTTCCATGACATCTCTGTCGTCTTTCCCTACATCACCTTCATTGGTTTCTTTATTAGTACATTGTTCTTCCTCATCTTCATTCTCATCTTCTTCGAACTCTACTTCAGCTTCAGGTATTGGAGCAAGTGACTTTCCTTGAACAAAAGAAGAAACGTCTCAAATTAAAATCTGTAAAAAGGGACAGATGGCAAGGAAAACAATCTTGTATACCTCGAACTCTTTTGGCCGGGAACAAAGAATCATGAAACCATTACTCTATATGAGCACTTAAACTAGACTCTATGGTGACTCAATTTATGAATAGCTGTATGAAAACCAGGATATAATGAGAGTCCATTCATTTGCTTGACTAACTTATGCCTCAACTCTGTCTTAATTTAGTGGTTGATTCCCCCAAAGATAGCAAGGACGAATGCTTTAATTAT